TCCAGAGGTAAGCTGTTCTGAGAAACTGCAGGTTCCTCGGGGAGAGAGAAGGAACCCTTTCAGAACCTGGGGTGAGTAGTAGGTGGGCACCAAGGTCATGTGGGGCTGTGACACGTGCCTGCCCTCAGCTCTGTGTGACTACTGGGCAGCCAGCCAGCGTGCATCTATTCGAGGGTAAATGGACCTGCTAAAAATAAGCAGGCAGCTATTTCATTCCAACAGATTCAAAATAGCCAAGCCTCCTCTCGCCAGCCCCAGCCAGGGCCTTGCATGCTTTCCCTGACTGGAGGCAGGCCTGCCTAGAGGCCTGGGCCTCAGAAGGGGGAGGGGGAAGGCCATCTTCAGTTAGCTTGTGCCTGTGAAGGCTTTTAGATCCACACTGTTAAATGCCACTTATATTCTGAGAGGTTAGGGTTTATTTAAAAAAAAGGCAGAGAGAGCAACTCGGGGAAGGGAGGAAGCAGAGAGCCTTGTAAGGCTGAAGTGTGTGCATGCACAGGGGGCGGCCCTGTCTGAGACTTCAGGAAAGGTTGGTACATCCTGCACCACCAGTCCAGGCCTCTGTCCACATAAAGCAGGGAAAATGGCACCTTACCAGTTCACAGGAAGTTTGTCTGAGTGAGTTGAGATTGGCTCGGGTAGGACTCTAGGGAGGAACTGAAGGGCTAAGGAAGTGGGACTTTTCTTGACTGGTGGGAAGCGGTGCCTCAGTCACCCTGAGCTCCCTGTGAGGTGCCTTCAGTGAAATCCTGCTAGGCTCTCACATCACCTTTGGATGGGGTGGCTACTGATTCCTGGGGCTCTTGGCTATGTGTGTGGTGTAGATGGCTCATACCTAACCATGGCAAGGAAAAAATAAACCATTTCATCTGCTCCTGTCTCTGATCTCATACCTCTTATTTCAAGTGCCTGGAGTACTTCATTTCCTGTCCAGGGCAGTTTCTGTCCCTAGAGGCAGTCCTGGAGAGGAGGACTTTGCCTGGAGGAATAGTGGCAACTAGCTTCTGGTTCCTCAGCAGAGGGTCTCTCAGCTCTAGGCCAGCATGTGAATGGTGGGCACTGGGGACCCAGGTGAACCTAGTCAGGATTCTGTGGGTTGGGTGACATGGCACCAGGGTAGCAGTATTAAATGCCTTCTAGGAAGCCCTCCTGGCACAACAGGGTGGGTCAGGCTTGGAAATGGTGCAGAAAGTTTCCTAAGCTGTAATTAGCAAAGTAGCTGCAGCTGCCTGTCTACAGGGGCCTGTAGATGGTGGGGCTTAGAGCCCCAATCTCTGGGAACAAGCTGTGCTGGGAGGGTTAGGTGAGTGAGTGGACGTGTCCCTGTGAGCTACAGAGCAGCAGGCAAGGAGTATATGTAGTGGCCCCAGGCAGCTGGTTCTGTGTTGAGTATGAACTGGGGCTGGGAGCCGAATACCTGAGGTGGGGGAGGCCAGTGACATGGTGGGCCTGGTCTGGGTTGCAGCATGGATCTCCTGGGGTGCAGGACCAAAGCCAGACCGCAGTGTGTGTTCGAGTGTTGGGCCTCTGCCTTATAGCCAGTTTCTGCAGTCTCCAGTTGTGGGGTGGGGTCAACTGCTGGACCCCTTGGGTCAACTTTTAGTTCTGGGGTGGGGGTGAGGATTCTCAGTCTTGTAAAAGGCAGTTTGTATCTTTGATAGCAACTTCCCCCTTACACACACACACACACACACACACACACACACACTCACACACCCCCCCC